CTGTAGTCGGCGCCGCTGCCTCGGCTGACCTCATTGGGCCAGATGCATGTGCCCTGCTGGCACGGGTCCCGCTCTCAGAGTTCCCTGCGGGCTTCCCCCGCCTCCATCCTTGCCCCGCTTCCGGGGCCGCCTTTTATCTCTGCCGGGCGGCGTCTCCCACTGGCATCGCCCGGCCCTAGCTGGATATAAGCGCGGCTTACAAACCGCGCTGGCGGTCTCCCCGCGCGCGTGTCGCTGCTTGCTCCGGCCTCTGTGTGGGGTAAGTAGGTGGTCACTTCCCCCCTTGTCCGGCCCCGGGGTACCCTTCTAACCCCGGCATCCCTGGGACAAGGAAGTAAATTAAAGAAGGTCTCGTTTTCATAAATTGGGATTGGGGTCAGGGAGTTTTGGTCATGCTTCTAGGGGTAGCTGGGGGGTGGGAGTGATGAGAGAAGGAACTTTTGGGGGAGCTACTGCACCTGCGTCGGAAAGGAAGCCCCGGTTCATGGGGACCTGATCCAGACCACCAGCTTTTTCTCCCCCATCATTCCTCCTGTGATGGGACAGGGTCCTTAAGGGTGGCCGTGATCTCCCAAGGCCCCATACTGTGCCAAGTTGGCCCAATGGGCCCCTTCGATTCTCGCCCGCCACATTTTTGATGGAAAATATAAAGTAGGGAGGCTGCCTGTAAGTCCTCTTGGACACAGTTTCCTGGACTCTCTGACCCCGTGGGCTCCCAGACCCCTTATGGGTCCCATTTTGGGGTGTTTCGGGGTGTTTCAGGGCACCCTAGCCTTATGGGCTGTATGCACGGCTCCAACCGCCCCTTTACCACATCCTAAGCCTCACAGATGGAACTGACGTTGTTTGGTCTGGGCCTTGTTATAATCTGGCCCCCTTGTCCTCCTGGGCCCTCCGCAGCCCTGTCTTGCACTGCGCCTTCCCTGGCGCTGGGGTCCCCATGCTGCTGTGGGTCCCCTATGAGGCCTCCTCCTTCCCCTAATAGCCTCACCCAAATGACCAGTGTTATACAACGATAAACAAAACACAAGCCCCTGGGCTGTAACATAAATTCAAGCCGCTCAGCTGTCACCTCATTCAAATCCTACTGGGGAATGCTCTGTCCCTTAATGGTATTGGAAACTGCTCCTGCAGACAGGCCTCTCTGCTTTGCTCGCTCTGGGAGAGCTCCTTCCCCCTTGGCTGCTGGCAGGGAACTGCCTTCCCTGGGCTCGGTCCTGGGGTTTATATGGGCCCAGAGCCTTGCCCCTTCCAGTCAGCTGACCATGTGCAGGTGCAGGCTAATTTACCCTCTGGCTTGTTACCCTGGTAGCCTGCACCTGGGCTTCTGTCTCTCTCTCTTTGGGCTTTTCCCCAGGCAGTTCCCGCCCTTCTAGGAGCAGGGCACCTTTGTGCCCTGCGACACCTCCCTAGACCTCGTTCCTGAACCTATCTGTGCCCTGCAACTGGCTAGTTGGCATGTGCTCTGCAGGCTGTTTGCATGTGGTTGGTAAAGTCATGGTTGCACCCCCGGGGACAGGAGGGGGAGTTGGCTTGGTGCCGGAACCACCCTTTGGGCAGTTGAATTCAAGAGGTGGAAAGCTTGTCCACACAAAACAGGAAGGTGGGAGATGCTGAAGGACTGCAATGTGGGTGGCTCATTTGTGGGGATTTGCCACACATTAATGGAATATGGGCTGGGTAACAGATCAGAGATAACCCTGCCCTGGAGTGGCATAGCTTTAAGCCACCTAACGTGTGCTTAAAACTAATTTCAGATGTTAATGTGTAGACAATCCAGGGGTTAAAAGATCCAGGAGCCACCTAAAATTAATGTGTAACAAGGCCCTAACAGTACCAGAAGTCAGAGAGAGATGGTATGAAAACGTCATGATAAGTTCTTAGCCATCCTAGCTCACAGGGAATAGTAACTATTCTGCAAGTAGTCTCATTGCTTAGTAAATTCTATGAGGGAGTCTTTTTTTCATTGTGTGTGTGCATGCAGCATTTAATTTAATGGGGTCATGATCCTGGTTGAAACTACTCAGTGAGACTGTAAAAATAATAAGAGAGATTACTACTTAGTTTGAGGGATGTTATCAATTCTGGCCCTAAATTTGTTTCCAACAAAATAATTCCCATTTCTGTTTTATTTTTTATATTACACTGAGCATTTCCAGACCAGGTCATGTTTTTCTTTTTATGTATGGTATTAAAATTATGCACTTAAAGTATTTGTATTCATTATGCTACTGTACCATATACAAATAATAATGTGATCATAGAAATTATATCTCCTTTCAAGTGACTTTAAAAGGGTAGCTTTTCTTCTCTTTTCTTAAATTTGTCTCAAGTATGGCATATTCACAGTCTGCTTTCAGGAACAGATTTTTTATCAACTCTGAGTTGGATATGTATTAGAAAATAAGTAAATATTTTCAAGGTTTGTTATCCGACACAATACATTTAGAGTTAAGTGTAAATATACAGATCAATAATGACCTTCATTTTTGAATCATTAACATTTAAATAGTTCAAATGTCAGTGGTTCACATTGCAGAAATCCATATATCCAGCTATCAGCAAAAGAAATAGCTTAGTGTTTAACAGTCTTTATTTGGAAATGTATTTGAAAGAAATGCTGGATTCCTAAATAACTTTTTCAGTCTTCCTACAAAATGCAAAGTTCAAGTATAAATCATGATACAAATGATCTTCCTATGGCAAGAGGATTTAGAATAGCAGATAGTGGACAATAACTATGGAAATCTGTACTTCTTGACTTCATTTTCATACTATTTGGTCTAAAAAAATCTGGAGCCATAGACTATTAGTAGAATTGTGAAATAGCTCTGGAGACTTGAGATAAAGTTTTTAAGTGTCTAATAGACCTAGGAGTCTAAATCCTATTTTCAAAAGTAATTTATGAGCTTTAGTCTCTTTGGAAGTCAGTGCAACTTAGGCTCCTTCATACCTAAGTCACTTCTGAAAATGGGATTTAGGCTTTGAAGTCACTTAGGCCATATTTTAGACATTCTCAGCATTTTCTAAACAGTGTTAACTGATTTGCATCATACAATTCGAATCAAATTTCAATCTGAATTAAGGATTAATAGATGATCATTGACCATCATGGCAGGGGGCACTGGCTATATACAGTCTGTACACTTGACAGCCCCTTAACAGAAGCTGCAAGTAATTATGAGGCAATAATAAGCCTGTTCAAGCATTGCTACATTGTTACAGTTATCTAAAGTTCTGTTCCAGAAGCCATAATTGACCTGATACTTAGTCACTGTGGATACCTGTAGATGTGCGGGGAGGCTGCTCCAATGCACTGTAATTAGAGATTAATTGAGTCTGCTGGAGCATGTCCAGATGTTAATTGAGTCTCCAGCACCATCCACATCTTGTGTACCAGCATCATTATGCGTCAAAATGGCTGTGGGGGTGCTTTAACTAGTTAAAACACCTCTGCTGCCATTTTGAAGAGTGGGGACGCATGAGATTCTGCGGGCGCTCTAGTTAAAGCCCGGAAGCACATGTAAAAATGCCCTGTGAGGTGGTGTTGGCCTATTTGACTTTGTAAAGGTATTAGTCCATGCCTGGTAGCCTCTGTTGTGTTGCAAAAACCCAATTGAGCTTCCCTTGCAGGGATTGATATTTGCAATGCTTATCTGAGTTCCTAAGGACTGTTTTTCCTAAAAGCAATGCCACATATACATGTTAATTAATACAGTTCAAATTGTCTAATTTGGATTGCCCTTGTCTTCATTAACTTTAACCTTCATTCAGTGAGGATTAGTTAATTTGGACTGGCACCAATTTTAATTCAGACTACAGATGTCCATGTGTATATAGTGATGACTGTAGTCTGGATTAAACCTTGAAAAATGTAATGTCTATAAATGGCCTTAGAGCCTTAAAACTTAGAAGCATTTGTATACATGTCTGTGCCACAGCACCAGGCTCTTTTGAAAGCATCTGGCGCTGCGGCCAATGCATTTGTATAAATGGCAGAATGCATGTCAGCACTGAGAAAATGGCAGTGGTATGCTTTTGAACTCAAGTACCTTCAAGGTGTTTCAGTTCAAAAGGGCATTGCCATTATTTTCTGTGCGCTGATGTGCATTTTGCTGTTTATACAAATGTATGCGACGCAGCGCCGGGCGTGTCAGTTCATGTGCTCCTCAGACTCTATTAATCGAGTCTGCTCTGACGCACTGGATTTCCAGGGCATTGGAGCAGACAAAGGTACATGTATAAATGCAGTAAATTATTTACTGAAACCTTTTTGTCTAGTTTTGAGTCAGTGTGCACAGTGGTAACCATTAAAAAATCAATTGTGGGTGTCATCTGAGATATGATACCACAGAATTTCTCTTTATTTAGAGTAGCAAATGACTGTGGTATATCAGGCGTATTAACATAAGTAAATATTGTATCTTCAAAGGTAACAATTTTACTTTTAGCTTTCCTCTGGCTAACTCCTGTGGGTCACACAAAATGGTGATCAAAGTACATTTGTACCTTTTCATTTTTTTAAAATGATGTATTACAGCTTCCTCAGATTTTTTTCCTTGATGCAGATAGTACTGACAATAGCATATCAACCTATCTCGCCTCTCCCCTCTTCTTGGTATCTAGGCATCAAATCTTGGGGAATTTTTTCAGTCCCCTGCTGTCCCTCAGTATCTATGTTTAAATCCTGTAGATAAGAAGTTAATCAAGGATCAAAGGCAGTAAATGGCTTGTTTGTTAGTTTTTTAATATTGACTGCATTATAGCTTGAATAGTTTTCTTTACTAAAAACACCCATTTATTCAATGTACCAATTCTGGGCCACATTGGTTCATATGTAAAATGTAATGAATTGTAAAGAATTGATGGCCACACAAACTTAAATTTTCCAGTAATGTAATGTGCATGTTTGTAATGTCACTTGTCATGAACATGGTGTTAATGTATGTCATACCATTTCATCTCATTTTACCAGGGTCTACCAGGGCGAAATGGCTATCCGGTAACTGTTCTATCATATATTTATGATGGCTTTTGTCATTCTTTTCTTCCTTGTCTTTGTGTTTATCTTTCCATTAATCTTAAAAAAGCTAGGCTAAATTAACCCTTCTCTGAAGTTTCTTAACTGCCTATAAAATGCAATCTTTTTTTTTAATATTTGTTTCCTTGGCAGTTCCTTTTAAGCAATCCGAGATAGGAACACATATAATATATGCCATAAACAAGAATATACCCATTATTTTCATAGCATAAATGTTTAGTTTGCTATGTTTGTTTATTCTAGCATGCAGAAATTATTTTGTCACCATAATGGCTTAAACTGGATACTGTGTATCAATTTTCTCTATTAGACAACTGTTCAGCTGGCTTATTGAATCTCCACAACCTTTACTTGCATTTTGTTTGGTTTCATTTAGTTTCTTAAATCAGTATATCTTTAGCAAGGTAAATTAGAGAGTTAGGAATGGGATGCAAAGCTT